AATTTTTTAACTTACAACATATAACTACATTAAACATAAATATATCAATTGAGAATTAATTTTATTTTTCTAATGAATTTAATTTTTTTATATTATAAAGAAAAATATAATTTATTATTTCATATATACAATATGGATGTCAAATCGAAGATCATCAAAAGATAATTAAGTTGATATATTATATATGTAAAACCGATAAGAAATAGAAAAGTTATCAACTTTTAAAATACATTTACAATTAAATAACTAATTGAAGGAAACAAATCAAAAGTCCGGGATATATTAGTTACTTAATGTCTCACTATGTAAAATTACAAAGAATTAAAGGGTTATATTAGTACAAGTGATATTAAAATACCTAAGTTAGCTATTTAATATTTATGAAATTTCTAGATTATTAATTATTAATATATATCAATATTATTTGTCCAAACCTAATTATGAAGCATGATTCTTTGCCAAGTAGGATTCCGAAGCACCAGAAGCAGCCATGTAGGCTCAGCGCATTCGAGAATAATATATAGGGAGGATTAGTTTGATACTTGACAACTCGTCGTTCACACAAATTAATATTTTCAACCACTTTCTAGTACTTACACGCCAAACAACAACATATAATTGGTCGTGACTAAAAACCGATTTATTTATGAGAAGGTCAACGTGCGATAAAGGCAGTCCCTAACTCTTGTTTATGGTCGGGGCAAACGAAACCATAAGTTGAAACTGCTACCTCTGAACTTAAATGGAACTCTAAGATCAGAAGAATTTACTCGTGTATGATAATTTACTTGGCGGTTCGATAAATGAGCCGATAATTTGTCATTTTAATATCGATTATACTTGATTTTATTTTTAATACTTTTTTTTGCAAAGGCAAAAATACAGTTTTGGTCCGCTAACTTGTCCATTGTCCACTTTTGGTACACTATCTTTCACCTCATAAAAAATGGTCAATTATATTACACTTTTCATCAGTTTTAGTACACTACTCCAGTTGGCGGGATTACGAGATGACGTGGATCGGGATAAGAAATACGTGGAGAAATAAGATATTGATGTGGTAGGATAAAAACCTGATTTGTCATCTCGTAATCCCGGACCACTGGATTAGTGTACTAAAATTGATGAAAAGTTTAATATAATGAACCGTTTTATGAGGTGAAAAATAGTGTATCAAAATTGGACAAAAGACAATTAACGGACCAAATTGGATTTTTGCGTTTTTGCAAGTTAGATGTTTGATTTTCATATGAATGCAGATGTAGATTGTGTAGGCCGACCAGCCGATAGGTGTAATAGGGCCGGGTCGCCGCTTCCTCTATCCGCTCCGACGCCGCCAAAGGGCAAACTCTCGAGTCTCGAGCTAAAACCATCGTTTCTCATTTCTCCGGTCGGTGTCTGAGCCAGGGATCTTGATCGTTCTGCTGTCCATAACTGCCTTTTCATTTGTTCAGTTCATTCTTGATCGAAAACTTCAGTGCCCGGTGACATGTCTTGTCTGATTTCTATCATCATATAATGGAGTTGTAGTTGATAAGTTTGTATTGTTCTCTTATAAACAAAATCGCAGGTTCAAGTTTTACTAGTACGCCACCCGCGCGTTGCGCGACATGATATTAAAATATGATGTGAAACGAATTATTATTTAAATAACAAAGAATATTCAAAAAATGTGTAGAGAGATAATAAAAAGTATAATGAAATTTTTATTTATTATATTTTAAATTTTTTTTCTAAATATAACATTATTAGTGGATGAACAATATTCATTATTACCATTATCA